ACAGGTGCACGCTACAAGCTGCATCGTCTGTCTAAGGAGGGTGGGTTACCCTGTCTTTGCTGGGGAGACCCGTGCCCTTGTTGTGTGAACAACTCAGCGCGATCACCTAAGGAGGCTTACCTCCTTACTAGCCCGTGGCGGCACGTACGTATCTCTAGTGAGATGTACGAAGGGATTGACAACCTGAAATCTCTTTACGACCGTGCCGGGAAGACTTTCTCCGGCGGTCCTTCTGCGGCACAGGATGTGCCGCGTCGTACCGCTCGACCAGACCCAGTACGTCAACCATCAGTTGGGAGCGGGGCTCCCAAGTATCCCAGGACGGAGGATAGCCGCGCCACCGGACGAGATAGCTCGTCCGACGTCCGTTCACGTCGCGGTGGTTCAACAGATGCTCAACCAGATAGCGCTGGCCACCGCAAGAGTCCTCTAATGGGGGTGGAGGAGGAGGAAAAACGCTCTCCACACAATCGTGGGGAAGCGTGTATCCCCGAGAGCTTCTTTGATCGCGTAACGCAAGCGTTGCGCGGTGTTCTCGAACATGAGCGGGACAGGCGTCTCCAACTGGCGGACGCTGTCTTGAAGCACCGAGCTGAGTTTGCCTTTGCTCAGCTTAAGAACGAGAGAGCTCTGACGTCTCTGCGTGACGAGCTAAGGGTAGCTCGTGGGAATGTTGATCGGTCTCGGGCTGAGATAACTGCTCCTCAGACCCTTGTCGATATCCACCATCGGGAGCACAAGGCCCTCTGTGAGATGCTTGAAGGCAAATGCGTTCTTCATCGGAAGATACAGCGTACTGGTGGTACGGCTTAAGCCGACCAACGTAAAACGTGGTATACGTTTGCATCTTACGTGGAAGTTCGATCGTGTATGCGTTGCCTAGGCGATGCAATTCACGAAATGGACCGATGTACTTGGGTAGAAGTTTACTACTACCCAAGTTAGTCACTACATGCTTTGGTAGGCTAACCGTAGACAGTAGGACTAAGTCACTTTTATTAAATAAAAGAGTGTTTGCCCCTCTATTCTTGTCTGCGTTTTGCTTTTGCTTATCCACCGCTTCGGCGATGGAGTCTTGCACAAAACGGACTACCGTTTCACGAGCCAGTATGAATTTATCTGATAACTCGTTAGATTCAGTGCGCTGTGAGTGCACTGCAGCAACATCAATCTTATCTTCAGTGAGGGCTTCCGCGCTCTCACTGGCATCATCTTCTTCGATATCGATGTTATCGATATCGGCATCAAACGCAATGACCTCTTCGTCAGAGCGTGATAAGCGTGAACCAAATTGGTTTTTGCTCGCGCGAGTCTCCCCCCCTTAAACCAGAGTTACATTCGAGTAGGGTGGGTACACGCGGATGGCGCAAGCCATTCACGTAAAACGGTGTATGTGTCGTGGACGCATGCACCGAGTTGTTAATGGCAAACTCTATCATTGGCAAGAACTCACTCCAACTCTTAAAGGAGTGTACGTATCCTCGAAGTATCTTTTTGAGGACACGATTGGCTCGTTCCGTCTGACCGTCTGACTCTGGATGATCAGATGTCGACATCTTCAAGCGCGTTCCGAGTGATTTGAACACGGAGCGCCAGAAATCAGCAGTGAAGCGTGGATCTCTGTCTGATACGAGTTCACGGAGCAACCCATGAAGTCGGAAGATGTTGTTAATAATGAAACAAGCTCAGACACTTGCCGTGATTGACTCGGGTACAGCCACCAGGTGTACCATTTTGCTGAATCTGTCAACAAAAACGAGAATACCCGTATTCCCGCGTGCGTCTTTGGGTAACCCGAAGACGAAATCCATTGAGATGGATTCTCAGCACTCTGACGGAACCGGTAGAGGCTGTAAAGGTGCACGCAGCAAAGGACTTGACTTCACTCGTTGACAGACTTCGCATGCGCGAACATACTTTCGCACTAACTGATACTGGCGGGGCCAGTAAAAGTCTCGACTCACCGTGAAATATGTTTTCTCCCGTCCACGATGTCCTCCTGTAGGAGCATCGTGATACTCAAACATGATCCGCAAACGCAGATCAGTATCATCTGGGATGACAACACGTGGTGTATCACCAGTAACGGCTGTATGATCCAGTAAACCGTTGCGAGTAGTGTATCGATCTGATGCAGATCGATACGCAGACGACAATCGTTTCAACGATTCTCGAGATGGTTGTGAGAGATGTGTCAACAGCTTCACAATCTCTCCATCTTGGGCATATGCCCGCCTCACATCATCATGTAACGTCGGCGATGCATTGTGGACGTCATAACCGCAACAGTGGCTGTCCCACTGTTGGGTCTCACGACTGGTTCAAAGTCAGGTCGACGTGAGAGTGCATCAGCGACGACATTAAGCCGTCCTGGTTTGTACTCTACCGTAAAGTAGTATTCTGCAAAGAATGACAACCACCGCGCCATTCGTTGTGAAAGGTGCGGGCTGTTTACTGCTGTGCGTAACGACGCATGGTCTGTGTAAACAATGAAGGGTCTATCTCCTAATAGATAGACTCTGAACTTCGCGAGTGCATACTTCATGGCAAGGAGTTCCTTGGTATGCACTGGATAGTTCCGCTCAGCTGGTTGCAGCTGACGCGACTGATAGCAGACGACGCGTTCAACGCCTTCAAGATCGTACTGCATTAATGCACAGCCGATTGCGAAATCGCTGGCATCACAGACCACATGAAATGGCCTGTCCTGATCGGCAATTGCTAGGACTGGGGATTGCATCAAGCTCTGCTTGATTTTATCAAAGGAGCGCTGACATTCAGCGTTCCATAACCACCTCTCGTTCTTTTTCAACAAACGAGAGAGGTGTATAGTCATCTCGGCGTAATTGCGTGAATACTTGTGCAAATACGCCGCTAGCCTAAGGAGTTTTCGAAGACCTTTGACATCAACCGGCACAGGCCAGTCGGTGATCACCTTGATCTTTTCGGGATCAGGACGTACTCCGTTCTTACCAACGATGCACCCAAGAAGTAGCATTTCGCTTGCTGCAAATCTACACTTCATGAGATTGACACACAATTGATGCTTTCGCATGATTGTAAGAACCTGTCGGACGTGGTATCGGTGAACCTCAACATCCGACTTTCCATCCATAGCCCGACTATGGATGAATACGTCATCGAAATAACCCGGTGCGAATTCTCGTGCTGGTCTCAACAGGTGTGATACACATCTGTTGAACGTGGCAGGGGCATTACTAAGCCCTTGTGGCATTACTAGCCATTCCCAGAGCATGCCGCTAGGCGTGCTCACTACGGTATAGGGTATGTCCCGTTCTCACATAAGGACTTGATAGAAGCCATCCATCAAATCCATGGACGAAAAGATGGTACTCTTTGACATACCATCAATGATTACGTCTTTCCTTGGTATCGGCGTCTGAGCCGGTAACGTTGCAGCATTCAACTTGTTAAATGCATGCACAATCCGCCACCCTCCTGTTGCTTTTCGCACACAGAAGGTCGGAGAGCTATGTGGAGAAGTTGATTCCCTCACATGGTCCGCAGCTAAGCGATCGGCAAAGAACTTGTCGATCGCAAGTACTTGTTCACGAGGCAGTGGCCACTGCTTCATGACACAGTACTTCGAGCCTGGTTTAAGCTCGACCTCGTGTCGAATACCTTTATCCTTCGGTAACTCGCACGGAACAGTTTCAGGGAATACATCCTTGAATTTAACCAAATCCTTATAGAGAGGATTTGTCTTGAGTGATTCCCACGATTGGGAGTCATATCGCTCAACTCGTGTCTTTTCATCGAGGACACTCTCGTCCATAGATGAACTACTGAGAACTCTCTCGTTCTCAGGGAACACTGTTGCTGACCTTATGTCGGCTACACACTCGTCGTCAGCGACGAGTACGCAGATCTGCTTGACTTTTCCACTACGCAGATCACGCAAGAACCTTTTATGTTCGAGCATTGGCAACTGGGTGATCTCCGAAGTCAACTTCGGAGGCGCAATCAGATCAAGTGTATAAGCGCCTACGCGTGATCCATCATTGACTATGACATTCATTGTCTCTGTCATTTCCTGGGGACTTATTCCCTCAGGCCTCGAAGGACTTATTCCTTCGGCTTCCCGGGGACTTATTCCTTCGAGTTTCGGGAAACCTATTTCCACCGTATTTGTAATATCGGGACTTATTCCCTTAACTTCCTCTAGCTGGGGTTGCGTAACCACAGCGAGGTCCTCTACGAAAGACTCTCCAGTCGATTTAGGGTTATCTTAACCTGAGCGATCGATTGTTTCTCTTCTAGATGTTCCCCGCTAGGGATACATCTTTGTCCCGGTCCACTCGACTTATTCGAGTGGTGGACCTTCGGCGCAGCCTGTATTTCCTCGCAGCCGCCGGAATCTTGCGCCGAAGTGTAACTGTTTGGTACACTAAGGTTTTGTGCAGTCGTACTAACGACCGTACCACAAGTGAGGCCATCGCACTCACTCGTAGTACATCCACACGCTTGTGGACGCTCCAAAACGTTCATCAGATGGCCATCTGATGAACAAGCGGCAGGCATCGTTACTGTTCGATGTTGCCAGTTTACCCGTGGTTCGTACCTTCTGAGCCACGGTATTCCAAGGATGACATCAAACTTGTCATCCAAATCCAATACGATAAAGTCATCATCATATTGGATATCTTCTAGCGTATAGTGGATCTTAACTATACGCTTCATGACTGTTACGGATGCCCCTGTTGCAAGACGTACCGTCATTCTCGTAGGAGGTGTGTCACATTCACTGAACTTGAAGTGGCCATCTTCTAGCGATTGGCGTCGCACAAAATTGTTGGACGCCCCACACTCGACTAGAGCTCGAAGGGACAACTTATTCGTCACTTCGAGTTTCAAGGTAATGAGTGAGATCTCATTACCTAGAGCAGCAACGCACAATGTTTGTGTGTTGGGAGCAACCTTCATCAAGAGGCCTACAAATTCTCTTGACGTTGCTGGATCAGTAGGGTGCTCCGCAACTACTAAACCTGTCCGTTTTTTGACGGTCCATCCCGTTGTTGCGTCTTCGCACCAACTGCGGACCCTCGTCCCTGCCCCTTTCTCATGGGTGGACGGTCACTACGCCCAGTGTTGCGAGACACTGGACGAGGGGCACTACACTCGTAAGCGTAGTGTCCTGTCTTCTGACATCTGTTGCATTTCTGAAACTTCTTGTAGTCTGTAGAGCGAGCCTTCTCGCTCTCTACATAACCGAGTTCCATCGGCTCTGGACTTCCGCTGTCATATCGTCTCGGTTGACGATACGATGTCGAGCTGGCGCAAGCCTGTCCCAGACTGAAGTCTTTCTGTTCCGCAATGGAAATGGCTTGTTCTAGTGAATCTAGTTCAAGTCGGAACAGGTGAGTCTTGAAGGGACCATCGCAAGACCCTGCATGAACACCGAAACCAACGTGTGTTCATCCACCGGGTTGGAACTTATATAACTCGTGAGATGTCGTATATGTTGCGCGTAAGCGTGCACATCACGCTTACCTTGCTTGAGCTTCAAGAGTTCAGTTCGAGCTCTGAACTCAGCTCTAGGCGGTTCAAACGTTTTTCTGAGCCGCGACTTGAAGACTCCTAACGACCCAAACGCATATGGGTCGTGCAACTTGAGCCCCAGTGCCCAAGTCTTGGCACGTCCGGCCGGATTTGACTGGGCAAATGCAACTTGCATATCCCCGTCGTCGATGCGACGCGCCCTTATGGCATCATCCAATTCGACGAACCATCTCAAGAGGGAGTCCCCTTCGACCCCCTATACTTGGAGATGTCAATCTTCAAGGTCTCGGGTCGACGCGAGTGCATCGACCCACCAGCAGCAGCCTGCTGCTGTCTGAACAGCTCAAACTGCTGAGCACCCTGTTCTCTCAACAACTCTGATTGTTGAGAACCTTGTTGGTGAAGCAAGGCTACTTTCTCGCGTTCTGTGTCAAGTTCATTTTGAATGAACTTGGCGATAGTAGCATGTTGGGCATCTCTATTGAGAGCCTCTAGCATGACGCTAACAGCATGGAATCCCATGGTTGTACCCGTCCGTTCAACCGCATCCCATTCGACAACACTCAAATGGGAGTAGCCGTCACGCGTAGCGTGAAAGCTTTGGTCATCTTCATCATCCAACATATTCATGTTAGATGTGAACGTGGTCATTGGACGGACTACGAAGTGCTACCAGGTGTAACGGGGCACCCTGAAGCTTGTACTGATGACAGTACAAGCTACTTATTCTGACTACATGAATAAGGCGGTGCCTCGGAACTCCACGTACACTGGTACGTGCAGAGGAAGACGGTAAGGAGAAGCGAGTACTTGGTTAAAGTAAAAAGTAGAACTGTATTTGTAATAGTTAATGTCTGCAATAAACCACTGTTTATCTTCATCTAACTATGTCTGAATACAAATTTATAAATCAACTATCTGCTCACCACTCATTGCGTGCGTCTGTCGTGGCGCGTCTTCGTTGGTTGATATAATGGCCTATATCAACCAATTAGGAACTACTCGTAAGTGCTGCAGAATATTTGTCCTTATGACAATATTCTGAGAATATAACTCTTATAGTTATATTCTATCAACAAATTCTTATAAATTGTTATGTAACGATTCACCCTGTTACTCATACTGTTTTGTAACGCCTTCGGTATCGAGGCAACTGCCGCAAGTCACCACGCGGTCGTCCGCCAATCCCGTTGATTCCTCCTTTCAACAGCCTTGCCACATTCATCCAAAGCGCTGGCTCTGGGACACCTCAGGGTGAAGACCTTCCTGCAAAAAGTACTTCTCAACTGCATCCGCCACACCACGACCCTCGTTGATCGCCCACACAACTAGAGATTGGCCGCGCCGACAGTCACCGGCTGCAAACACACCCTCGACCGACGTCTGGTAGTCTCCATAAGCGGCTCGAATGTTGCGGCGCTGATCCACCTCCAGCCCAAGAGCCTCTGCGATCTTCTGCTTCGGATGGACGAACCCCATGGCAAACAGCACATTCTTCGCACGAAATCTCCTCTTCTGTATCGTCCATTGCTTGCTGAAAGCGTTGTTGACGCTCTTCGTCCATCTCCTCGGCAGTTTTTCCCTTAAATAGCAGCAGTGCCGTATTTTCGGAGACTGTTGGCGTCGAATGGTTCTCGATCACAATCTCGTCTTCGGTCAGAGTAGTCATAGACCAAGTCCATCTCATTGCCAACAAGCTTCGGCGTCCGAATAGGCGACGGAGGATTCAATTTCATCCGCCTGTCCGTCTCTTCTTGAGTCTCCATCTGCATACAATCCCTCGCTCGCTCGCTCGGTCATCATCGAAGCGCTACATTCTGACGTGTCCCTGAAGATAGTGAGGGAGTTGAGAGGCACTTGATCAAGTATACCGTCGGGCCGACCAGGAGAACAGCGTGAACACGTAAGCGAGCCAGACGTTGTGCGTCGTGCTTCGAGCCGACGACCGAGTCGTTGCGTCGAAGGACGGACGTTGCTTTGTCTGTCCACTGCGATCACGTGAGGCGGAGCGTGGAGAGTACTGACGGAAGGACGTGCTGGCTTGTGATACGATGCGACAGGTGCCACGGGCCCGAGGTTCTTGCCAGCCACTAAGCGATTTACACGGAACTTGACGTGGCGGACGCCGTCTCGCGACCACCGGAGCATGAGGAGGAAGAACTCGCAGGCGAAGAGCCGCGCAAAGCGCCTCGTGAGCAGTCGGTTGTCTGTTCGGTTCGTTTGTTTGATTGCCGCCGCGTGTTTCTCCCTGAGGCTCGCGCAGTCCTCGTCCGAGCGGCGTCCGGTGTTCTACTTCATCGGCGACTCCATCACCGAGTACGGCAGCAACCCGGCCAAGCGCGGCTTCGTCACGACCGTGCAGCACCATCACGTGCGAGCTGTCGACTGCGTCAACCGCGGCCTCTCGGGCTACAATACCAAGTTTGTGGATTGCTGCGTAACTTATTGCTCGTTTGATTCGCGAAGCTAAATATCTTCCGTACTGATTTTAGTTATCTGATGTGTCCCTGACCCAGATGGGTGCTGGAGCACGCGATGCCCGTTTACGTGACCGAGCTGCAGGCCGCGTACTCGGCGTCCCTTGTGACGGTCTTCCTTGGGGCCAATGACGCCGTGCTCGAGCACGGACCCGACGCTGCGCAGTTCGTGCCCCTGGAGGACTATCGAGCCAATCTGCACGAGATCGTGCAACGCGTGCGCCCCCTGTTGGCTCCTCACGGCCAAGTGCTTCTGATCACGCCGCCCTGTGTCATTGACTCGATGCGTCAAGGGGACCGCAGCGACGCCTCAGCGGCCAAGTACGCGGAAGCGTGCGTCCAAGTGGCTGCGGCCGAGAATGTCCATGTGCTGGACCTGCACACGTACTTCAACACGATGTACCCGGCGGAGAGTGCTCGCAAAGCGTTCTTTGTGGACGGACTGCACTTGTCGGCACAGGGCAATGAGGAAGTGGGCAAGTTGCTGGGAGTCGCGATCAACGGCATGTTTGGGAAAGACGAACTGGCGAGGTTTGCCAAGTGGCAGTTGCCGGACTGGAAGGATTTGGTTCCTCGCGTCCCCGGAGCGGAGTCGCAGTTACTGGGCGGGGCTGCGACTGGAGTCGCTCGGGGGTGATGGAGCTGTCCGATTGCCATGAGGTTTCAAACAGCTCCTGGTACTCGTCGCCTGCATGTAAGTGATCGACTGAGCGCTTTACCCTTGTGAGTCAATCAACCGTTCTAGGTTAGTCGGACACGTTCATCCCAGTAAAGCCGTCAGTGTAATGAGCTCACCTGACATCGCTACTACCTACGATTCGTTTCATCCAGCGTCATTGCTCATTCTCAATCTCACGTTCAGCCCCATGTACACTGACGGATTGCAGCCGACACACGCCTGTGCTACCAACTGGACGTCAGAATGTGTCGGCACAATCAATATCAATAGCTCTTGGAACGGAAAACGAGGACGCCACGTTTCCGCATTCGTAGCAGGATGTCGCCTCGACAATGAAGCGCTACGAAGTCGATTCTGATGCGCATACGATGCACTGCAACTAGATACTTACCTACTGTTTTGTCGTGGCTTGGAACCTGGTACGAAAGATGCAGGCCGAGGCCTCGACTGAACCTGAACCGTTTGCAAAGACTGCCATTCTATCACAGCACACAACACGTTGAGCTGTCGCACTCCCGCGCTCTCACAACCGCCATACCACTGCCGAAAGGTGGCAACAAGCAGCTTCATGTGCGGCGTATCGATAACGACATCTTCGCCTGGCAAGGGTGTCCAGCCTAGTCACTTTGGTGTTGCCACTTGATAATGGACTAATGATGGCGTCCGAGCAAACTCGAGGCGACGTGAGCTGATCCTGTTGAGTTACGCGGGGTCTGCAACCTTCAGGATCCATAACTTGCCGTCACTGGGCCGACTTGTGCGTTCAGCAGACTTTCATGTGTGTGTATCTTTAAGACGCTCGAGGACAAGTACTCGCTCGATCCATAAAGCTCGTACATCTTTTGGTGCAACTTGGTAGATGTGTCTCCGTTTGCACGCGCTTGCGAGATGGACATGAGCTTTCCTGTCCCTGAGTAGACAACGTCGCAGCTCAAAAGTCGGTTCACACACTATCACTGCGTCGCACTCGTAGTATTTTCCACATCTCTGCGTTGTCCAGAGACCATTCGCTTGCTCTCTGCTGCTGTAAAAGGCTCAAAGACGTGTCGGCATTGCGAAACGGGTCCATTCAACTTGTCCGCTGCTCCATGATGACGGAGATTGCGCTGCTGCTTCAAGATGACGAACATTGACAGGACGAGAGCACAAACACCACTCATTCGTCGACGTGATCCACGAGATTATCTTGCTCGCGCATGCCAATGCATCGTCTTGACACAAGCGCTTCGTAGCCGCATTTGCACACATACCCAACTTTGCCATTACAATAATTACCGCCACCTCCTACCACCAATACACCAACCCGGTCTTCACAACTACTCACAGAGTCTTGCCAAATCGCCTAGTAACGCCTTCGGTATCGAGGCAACTGCCGCAAGTCACCACGCGGTCGTCCGCCAATCTCGTTGATTCCTCCTTTCAACAGCCTTGTCACATTCATCCAAAGCGCTGGCTCTGGGACACCTCAGGGTGAAGACCTTCCTGCAAAAAGTACTTCTCAACTGCATCCGCCACACCACGACCCTCGTTGATCGCCCACACAACTAGAGATTGGCCGCGCCGACAGTCACCGGCTGCAAACACACCCTCGACCGACGTCTGGTAGTCTCCATAAGCGGCTCGAATGTTGCGGCGCTGATCCACCTCCAGCCCAAGAGCCTCTGCGATCTTCTGCTTCGGATGGACGAACCCCATGGCAAACAGCACATTCTTCGCACGAAATCTCCTCTCCTGTATCGTCCATTGCTTGCTGAAAGCGTTGTTGACGCTCTTCGTCCATCTCCTCGGCAGTTTTTCCCTTAAATAGCAGCAGTGCCGTATTTTCGGAGACTGTTGGCGTCGAATGGTTCTCGATCACAATCTCGTCTTCTTCAGAGTAGTCATAGACCAAGTCCATCTCATTGCCAACAAGCTTCGGCGTCCGAATAGGCGACGGAGGATTCAATTTCATCCGCCTGTCCGTCTCTTCTTGAGTCTCCATCTGCATACAATCCCTCGCTCGCTCGCTCGGTCATCATCGAAGCGCTACATTCTGACGTGTCCCTGAAGATAGTGAGGGAGTTGAGAGGCACTTGATCAAGTATACCGTCGGGCCGACCAGGAGAACAGCGTGAACACGTAAGCGAGCCAGACGTTGTGCGTCGTGCTTCGAGCCGACGACCGAGTCGTTGCGTCGAAGGACGGACGTTGCTTTGTCTGTCCACTGCGATCACGTGAGGCGGAGCGTGGAGAGTACTGACGGAAGGACGTGCTGGCTTGTGATACGATGCGACAGGTGCCACGGGCCCGAGGTTCTTGCCAGCCACTAAGCAATTTGCACGGAACTTGACGTGGCGGACGCCGTCTCGCGACCACCGGAGCATGAGGAGGAAGAACTCGCAGGCGAAGAGCCGCGCAAAGCGCCTCGTGAGCAGTCGGTTGTCTGTTCGGTTCGTTTGTTTGATTGCCGCCGCGTGTTTCTCCCTGGGGCTCGCGCAGTCCTCGTCCGAGCGGCGTCCGGTGTTCTACTTCATCGGCGACTCCATCACCGAGTACGGCAGCAACCCGGCCAAGCGCGGCTTCGTCACGACCGTGCAGCACCATCACGTGCGAGCTGTCGACTGCGTCAACCGCGGCCTCTCGGGCTACAATACCAAGTTTGTGGATTGCTGCGTAACTTATTGCTCGTTTGATTCGCGAAGCTAAATATCTTCCGTACTGATTTTAGTTATCTGATGTGTCCCTGACCCAGATGGGTGCTGGAGCACGCGATGCCCGTTTACGTGACCGAGCTGCAGGCCGCGTACTCGGCGTCCCTTGTGACGGTCTTCCTTGGGGCCAATGACGCCGTGCTCGAGCACGGACCCGACGCTGCGCAGTTCGTGCCCCTGGAGGACTATCGAGCCAATCTGCACGAGATCGTGCAACGCGTGCGCCCCCTGTTGGCTCCTCACGGCCAAGTGCTTCTGATCACGCCGCCCTGTGTCATTGACTCGATGCGTCAAGGGGACCGCAGCGACGCCTCAACGGCCAAGTACGCGGAAGCGTGCGTCCAAGTGGCTGCGGCCGAGAATGTCCATGTGCTGGACCTGCACACGTACTTCAACTCGATGTACCCGGAGGAGAGTGCTCGCAAAGCGTTCTTTGTGGACGGACTGCACTTGTCGGCACAGGGCAATGAGGAAGTGGGCAAGTTGCTGGGAGTCGCGATCAACGGCATGTTTGGGAAAGACGAACTAGCGAGGTTTGCCAAGTGGCAGTTGCCGGACTGGAAGGATTTGGTTCCTCGCGTCCCCGGAGCGGAGTCGCAGTTACTGGGCGGGGCTGCGACTGGAGTCGCTCGGGGGTGATGGAGCTGTCCGATTGCCATGAGGTTTCAAACAGCTCCTGGTACTCGTCGCCTGCATGTAAGTGATCGACTGAGCGCTTTACCCTTGTGAGTCAATCAACCGTTCTAGGTTAGTCGGACACGTTCATCCCAGTAAAGCCGTCAGTGTAATGAGCTCACCTGACATCGCTACTACCTACGATTCGTTTCATCCAGCGTCATTGCTCATTCTCAATCTCACGTTCAGCCCCATGTACACTGACGGATTGCAGCCGACACACGCCTGTGCTACCAACTGGACGTCAGAATGTGTCGGCACAATCAATATCAATAGCTCTTGGAACGGAACACGAGGATGCCACGTTTCCGCATTCGTAGCAGGATGTCGCCTCGACAATGAAGCGCTACGAAGTCGATTCTATGCGCAAACGATGCACTGCAACTAGATACTTACCTACTGTTTGTCGTGGCTTGAAACCTGGTACGAAAGATGCACGCCGAGGCCTCGACTGAACCTGAACCGTTTGCAAAGACCGCCATTCTATCACAGCACACAACACGTTGAGCTGTCGCACTCCCGCGCTCTCACAACCGCCATACCACTGCCGAAAGGTGGCAACAAGCAGCTTCATGTGCGGCGTATCGATAACGACATCTTCGCCTAGCAAGGGTGTCCAGCCTAGTCACTTTGGTGTTGCCACTTGATAATGGACTAATGATGGCGTCCGAGCAAACTCGAGGCGACGTGAGCTGATCCTGTTGAGTTCCGCGGGGTCTGCAACCTTCAGGATCCGTAACTTGCCGTCACTGGGCCGACTTGTGCGTTCAGCAGACTTTCATGTGTGTGTATCTTTAAGACGCTCGAGGACAAGTACTCGCTCGATCCATAAAGCTCGTACATCTTTTGGTGCAACTTGGTAGATGTGTCTCCGTTTGCACGCGCTTGCGAGATGGACATGAGCTTTCCTGTCCCTGAGTAGACAACGTCGCAGCTCAAAAGTCGGTTCACACACTATCACTGCGTCGCACTCGTAGTATTTTCCACATCTCTGCGTTGTCCAGAGACCATTCGCTTGCTCTCTGCTGCTGTAAAAGGCTCAAAGACGTGTCGGCATTGCGAAACGGTCCAGTCCATTCAACTTGTCCGCTGCTCCATGATGACGGAGATTGCGCTGCTGCTTCAAGATGACGAACATTGACAGGACGAGAGCACAAACACCACTCATTCGTCGACGTGATCCACGAGATTATCTTGCTCGCGCATGCCAATGCATCGTCTTGACACAAGCGCTTCGTAGCCGCATTTGCACACATACCCAACTTTGCCATTACAATAATTACCGCCACCTCCTACCACCAATACACCAACCCGGTCTTCACAACTACTCACAGAGTCTTGCCAAACCGCCTAGTAACGCCTTCGGTATCGAGGCAACTGCCGCAAGTCACCACGCGGTCGTCCGCCAATCCCGTTGATTCCTCCTTTCAACAGCCTTGTCACATTCATCCAAAGCGCTGGCTCTGGGACACCTCAGGGTGAAGACCTTCCTGCAAAAAGTACTTCTCAACTGCATCCGCCACACCACGACCCTCGTTGATCGCCCACACAACTAGAGATTGGCCGCGCCGACAGTCACCGGCTGCAAACACG